TCGAAAGCAAGAAATTGCAAGTAGATAAATAGGTACCGCTTCGGTTGGAAGGTAACAGCGTTCCGTGCGCCTCGGTGTTTAGTCATGCTGGCCACACGGCCACAGAAACGTCTTCGGACAGCACTGGCTCTTCGGCTTTGAAAGGGAGATGAGCACCGCAACCCTAGAGGCTTTCGAGCAAGGGAAACCTTTACCTTTTTACCTCTATGTTACCTTTTCCCGCCTTGGGACCCCAGTCCTAACCAAGGTTCTGAATCCACAGCATCTCCTATCCCTGATAAAGCATCACATCGCCAAAAGTGTGCATGGAAAGTGAATTGACTGGGGACCAATGTTCCCTCTAAGCTGTAGAGTCTTGTGAGCAAAAATTCTACTTTTGTGAGCTACTGGCATTAAGGTTGTGAGTGAGGAATTTGGCTCCTGCATAAATGAGTTTGCCCTGGAGCCCTCCTTCTTGAGCTGAGACAAAAATGTGTGAGCCGGAGGCTGAAAAACTGTGAGCTAGCCCACACTCACTCATAAGAACATAAGAGATGCCAATGTTGGATCAGGCCAAAGGCCCATCCCGTCCAACACTCTGTGTCACACAGTGGCCAGAAATACCAGGTGCCATCAGGAGGTCCACTAGTGGGGCCAGAGCCCCTATCTATACCTTGTGGCTCATAGCCACCGATGGACCTCTGCTCCATATGCGTATCTAATTCCCTCTTGAAGCCGTCCATGCTTGTAGCCGCCACCACTTCCTGTGGCAGTGAATTCCATGTGTTAATCACTCTTTGGGTGAAGAAGTGCTTCCTTTTATCCGTTCTAACCCGACCGCTCAGCAGTTTCATGGAGTGCACTCAGCTTAGAGGGAACACTGCTGGGGACCTGACAGCGATATTGTAAAAGGTTCATTTGTAATCAATGTTCCCTCTATGCTGTGGAGTCCTCCTGTGAGCAAAAATTCTACTTTGTGAGCTGCCGGCATTAAAGTTGTGAGGGAGCGATTTGGCTGCTGCATAAATGAGTTGGCTCTGGAGCCCTCCTTCCCGAGCTGAGACAAAAATGTGTGAGCCGGAGGCCAAAAAACTGTGAGCCAGCCCACACTCACTCAGCTTAGAAGGGACACTGTATATGATTCGATGTCCATCAGCTTTATCCAGTGCCCTTGCCATCTGGATCACAGCGTTCGTTTGTTCCTTTTGATCTATTTCCTTGCCACGGTGTGACCCGAGTTTTGGTTTACCGACGTGGAGGTTGGCCGCCCTCCTGGAGGGACGGGGTCGGGTGGGATCAATGTTCCCTCTAAGCTGTGCAGTCCTGTGAGCAAAAATTCTACTTTGTGAGCTGCTGGCATTAAAGTTGTGAGCGAGCAGTTTGGCTCAGGGGCATAACTTAGTTTGCCCTGGAGCCCCATCCCTTCCTGGGCTAAGACAAAAATGTGTGAGCCAGAGGCTAAGAAACTGTGAGCTAGCTCACACTGACTCAGCTTAGAGGGAGCACTGTTTCCCGCCCCGAAACAAACGAATCTCCGGGCTTCCCGGAAGTGAAGGTGCCCCACGCGGGCGCCCCGGAAGCGGAAGCGCAGCGTCGCCCCTCCTCCCGGCCAGCCGCGCTCCTTCCGCCGAAGCCCGTCGGCCGAGGCCTCCCCCGCAACCGCCTCTCCGCCGCGCCGGTTCCGCGCCCTGGCCTGGCCCGAGACAGGCGACCGACCGACGGACTGACTGGCGGGCTGGGACTGGGACTGGGAGCCCCCGGAGACCTCCCCCGCCGGGCCGCCAGCGCGCCGCCTCCTCGCGGGAGCCGGAGGGACCAGCCCGGGGGTGGGTGGGGGGCGCCGCCGGCCTCCGTTGCCACTGCCGGCCTCCGCCTGTGTCCTGCGGGGATGATGAGCGGCGGAGGAGGAGGAGGGAAAGCCCGCGAAGGGGCGGCAGGTGAGGGGGAACCCCCCCTTGCTTCGCACCCCGGGAGGGAGGGAGGAGGAGGAGGAGGCAGGTGGGCGGCAGGCGCAGCACCAGGAGCGCGGCAGCAGCAGCACCAGCAGCAGAAGGAGCCCCCTCCCTGACCCCCCCTCTCTCCCCCTCTCTCCCTCCCTCAGGCGAGGCCGCCGCCATCCTGCTTCGGTACCTCCGGGAGCAGAACCGGCCCCACAGTGCGCAGGACGCCTTCGGGAATCTGCAGCGGGAGCACGGCCTGGGCAAGACGGTGAGACAAAACCCCACCCTCCCTCCGCCCCACCGCGCCCTGCTGTGGGGGGCCTGCTCGGAGATCCGGGCCAGCCCCGCAGGGCAGCGGAGGCCGCAGCAGCAGCAAAGTCCGTCCACCTCTTGAAGCCGCCGCCGCAGGTGTGTCGGGTCCAGTGTTCCCTCTAAGCTGAGTCAGTGTGAGGTAAAGGTAAAGGTAAAGGTCTCCCTTGCTCAAAAGCCAGTCGAATCTGACTCTAGGGTTGCGGTGCTCATCTCCGTTTCAAAGCCGAGGAGCCAGCGCTGTCTGAAGACGTTTCCGTGGTCATGTGGCCGGCATGACTAAACACCAAGGCGCACGGAACGCTGTGACCTTCCCACCGAAGTGGTCCCTATTGATCTACTTGCAATTTCTTGCTTTCGAACTGCTAGGTTGGCAGAAGCTGGAACTAGAGACGGGAGCTCACTCCTTCATGCGGCACCCGGGTCTCGAACTGCTGAATGACCGACCTTCCACAGCCTGCAGTTCAGCGTCTTAACCACTTGAGCCACCGCAGCTCCCAGTGTAGTCCAGCTCACAGTTTTTTAGCCTCTGGCTCACACATTCTTGTCTTCGCTCAAGAAGAATGGGGCTCCAGAGCAAACTAACTTATGCAGCAGCCAAATGGCTCACTCACAACTTTAATGCCAGCAGCTCACAAAGTAGAATTTTTGCTCACAAGACTCCACAGCTTAGAGGGAACATTGGTCGGGTCCCTCTCCCCTCCCTCTTCCTCTCCCAGAGTCGTTCCTCCACCGGCTCCCGCCCTGCGTCAGGACCCCCACAGCGTGTGGGGCGGCAGCCAAACAGTCTGGCCCTCCTGGTGGGGAGCCAGTTTCCCTGGGGCTGTGGGGGCCCGCAAAGGCCTTCGAGGCACTTGTATTTATCGATCTTATTTCTTTGTAATTTGGGTTTTTTTTAATCTCACCCACTCCCACAGGTTACAACATATGCCTAGAAAACAATTTAAAAGATCAAAACATGATTCAGTAAAACTCACCTCTATACAAGCAATAACATGTGTTGTAAGATGGTGTCAGTGTGGTTAGACGAGTGTCCCCAGAACTCCCTTTGTACCTGTAGCCAGATATTTCAATTTCTGGGAAGCGGTATCATGAAGGCATTTCAACTATACTTGGTGACAAACTGATATTTTCCAGAATGTGCCGATGCTATTATGTCTGTCTACCTTTCACTGCACAGATCTCTCAGGGATACTCACTTATTTCAGTCTTCTGCTTTTCTTTCTGTCCGCTTTAGGCTTTAGTGAAGGCATTAGAGCAGCTAACTCAACAGGGGAAGATCAAAGAGAAGGTTTATGGGAAGCAAAAGATCTACTTTCCAGACCAGGTAGGAGAGGCCCCCTTGAACTTCTCTAGGAAATAATTGTTTATTTTAGTTACTGATCTAAACTACCTATGAGAGATATTTCAGAGGCGATGGTTTTTTTCTTGTAGTTTCTGATTTACATGAAGCTTTATGATCAAATCTACATTGTGATTACAGTGAATTAGCATTAGTGGGAAAAAACACTATTTATTTAAAATATTTGTTACTTTTCTGTTTTACACTCTTGAGTTTCCATATCTAAACCTTAATCTTCATAACAGAATGTTTAGTAATACACTGAAATCCTTCTCAGTGTTACAAAGCAGGGATTTAATTTCTCTACAAGGGCCCCGGTCACACGGCAAAGTTGCCGCGGGAGAGACACGGATGGTGGGCGGATTTTCCGGGCGCGATCACACCCCAACATCTGGGAAGTGGAGTGCACCCATGGCTTACCACCGACAATGCGCCTTAAAAAACTAGTACCTCCAAGGTACTAGTAAACGTTTGCCATGGGCTGCCTCCAGACGCTCGTGGTGTGATTGCACCGGCACGCGGCATTCCCCTGCGGTCCGTTTACCCGCCGGCACTGAGGGAAGGACCCATGGTGTGCCGCTGGCGCATCTGATTGCGTAATCGCACATCAAACTACGCCGGGGCAATTAGCCACGCCTCCCCCCCGCGATATCCGGCCCGTGTGACCGGGGCCAAGTTACTACTCATTATTTGTGGAGAGAGGTCTGTGGTG